ACACCACTATATTGATGTGTGAAAAAATAATATGACTCATCCAAATAATAACGTTAGGAGTTACAAATATAAAATAGGAGTTAAATTTTAATAATTAGAAATTAATCATGTAATAATTTATATCAAATAATCAAATTTAAACCTCAAATTAAATAATTGAAGGATTAATTTTTACTTTAACATCAAGAAGGTCCATCATTAGAGATGTCAAGATGGACGAGTTAGCCAGACCCGTGAAAATCGGTCCGGATCGACTCGGAACCGCTGGCTGACCCATGACCGGAGTGGGCGGTTCACAAATCAAAGAGGTGTGACCTGCGGGCTCTCCGGGTTGTACCTTCATGGGCCACGGTTGACCCGCGACCCGTGAAAAAAAAATTAATTTGAAAAAATGGGGGAAGGTGCCACCTAGTTGGGATGTATTTATGCTATAAATATTGGATAATAGCGATTAGAAATGTATTTAGTTGTTATTTGTTTAAGTTACATTTAACTTTGCAAAGTTATAAATAATTCATGTAATATTAAATTTGAATTCTATGTAAATATTTCTTGGTATAAATATGAATTTATCATTTTGTTCAATTCTTAGTTTACATTTAACAAAAAAAATAATTTTTACTATAAATATGAAAAATTCTATATTTTTATAATTTTATTTATACAATAGGTCAAATCAGAACAAACCGCGACCCACGGGGACCCATGACCCGTATGAGCTCGACCCAGATGGGTCAGCGGCGCGGGTTTGGATTGTAGTCTAAAATTTGTGGGCCGACCTGGAACCGGCTCGGAACCTGTAGCGGGCGGACTTTTTTTCACGCGGGCCGTTATCGGGCTCATATGTTGGCGGGCCGATTTAGCCCGGACCACCCGGATTGACACTTCTACTCCAATGGATTCTATCTATAATTCAAATTCCACTTCTAATGAGAATTGGGTTATATTACATGTACCTTATGGTACACATAATGGTGACTTAAAGAGTATCGATATTTAGGTAGTCCTCTTAACAATGTTTACTTTTTGGCTTGTCACATCAACTTCAAATAGTCCCAGACACATTGCATTGGATAGAAACTTTTGTAGACACAGTCTATTTTAACTTATGTGGCAACCTTTTTAGTGAAATTCGCATTAGTATTGGAGATTATCTTCGACAGGTTTTTCATTGAATTGTAAGTACGTAAAGCATTTATGCAATGGACTAGAAGATTAGTTAGTCTTGTTTCTAAACGATACTCATGTTACTCCAACACTACGGTAACCATGTTATATCTGTCTCTGACTCGATGCTTGGCATGGCCCGGCATATGTATTCGACCCTTAAAAAATTAAAAATGTCATGACTTCAACATTTTAGAATGTTGGCTTGTTTTTTAACGGCCCTGTTGAGATTTGATAGTAACGTCTTTAACCCAAAATGCACCCTCATGCTTGTAAAACTGTTGTATCAAAGTCGTGTGTTTTCACATTTTTTTCAGGATCACCAAGGACTCGAGGAGCATGATAATTCTCGATTGCAACTAAAATTGCACCTGCGCATCTCTAGTTCTCCTTGATTCCTCGAAGGAAAGAGCCCTGGAATTACCCCCGACATTGTCGAACAAATAATCTTCCCTTAAGATATCAGAGGCTCAGAGCGAAGTTTGTTTCCAACTGGGTTTGTGTTTACTTCTAAATGTTTTTGACAGATCAATTCGAATGTTATATATCACAATTGACATGTATCATTGTATGTACATTAGCCAGAATTGCTAGAAGAATTAAGCTAGTTTGCCCGAATTAATTTGCCCACCTGGTTGACCTAACCTCACATGAGCGTGGGACCCGCATGAAATAAAAAATGAAAAAAAAAATGTCTCACTCCCCCCGATGACACCCTCCCTGGCACTGCAGCTCGGTTATTGCTAGAAACTTTAACATCAATTAGATTAATGTACGTGTTGCAAGATTACTTATTTGCTAGTTTACTTATGAGCAGAAATATGGTTTTTGGTTAAT